TTCCTAGTATCAATTGAATAAGCATTGAAGTAACTTGAAAACGTATATTAATTTTACGAGCCAGTCATATCGCGGACTTTATGCCTAACGTCGTAAATCGGACGCAGGCGGTAGCTTTCCTGTAAGCAAGCACTTCGACGAGTAAATATAGAGTTACATAGTTTCTGACTTTAGAAGGTGTAGTGATGTATTGATCGTTATTGTCTATAAAGGTACTAAAAGTTGACCTGAAATACCCTTTAACAAGACTAAAATATGGCGTGAAAAAGGTAATAAAAATTGTGACCTAGGTGCTTTAATGGTGGTTTTGTCATGGTCAATCTATAACATATTCACACACAATCCAGTGTTTTCCAAATGTTAATAAACCTTTGTCTAATTCGTTCTGGTGTAAATTAAAGAAAGTGAAAAGAAAACCTGTCGATAGTCGATAAATTGTGTAGAGGTACATCACTAGAGTGCGACGATCGTACACGTAGCATCTGTAATGTACGTAACATGATGTGCCTACTAGAAATGGCAGTGCATACGTCGGTTGCAGGGAACTGGCCGCAAGTTCAAGGCTGGTCGACTCCCGCTTCCCATTGCATGTGCATTGCATGTGCATACGCATTAATTCCGCTCACAACCGCGACTACCACCATTGTCTATCACTCGACAACTCGGTTCATTGACCTCATAAAGGATTAATGACACTATTGTAGGCGTTTATTGTGGACTCGCCCTTTTTTATTCCGCCAACTACGATAGTGCGGCTGTTGAAATATTGAATCCTATAATCACTTTGACACTGAAATATGGTCACTTTATTGCGAACGTCGAGTGGCTGGATTGTTCTTCCCTTGGACTAAATGTGGAGTAGAAGTGCCTTTATATTTTTTAGAAATGAATTACGGTTTAGTTATTTAAATTAAATTAATATTGAAGTCTCTTCAATGCGACCGGTTTTAAAACAGCTATAGCAAAATGTTAGCGAGTAGAGAGGTCGTTTAAATTCTTTTCAATCCAAGACAATTGGATCCAACCATTTAAGGACCGTTGACCCTTTTCAGTAGACGGCCGCTTCTAAGGAATCTATTCTCAAAATTGAGTTTTATACCTTTTGGACCAGCAGAAAGCGGACATTCTATTGTGATCGAATACGTCTGCGCTTTTATTTTGTTTTGCTTTTTAATTTTTTGTCTTGATCAGGCTTAGGGTCCTGAGATTCTAACAAGAATGATGTCACTGCTTAAATTCACAGACATTTCCCTTGCATTTTATTTTGTTTTTTATATTCCCCTAATAACAGGTAATTGAATAATATTATATACCATAGTTAGGTATATGCCACCGATTTGTAACGAAATAAATTGCTTAAGTAAAGGCAGCACTCAATTCAAATTATAACCTATGGACTTTGGTCATAAATTATAAAGGTAGGTACAGTCGCACAATCTGCTAATCAGAGCCATAATAGAGTCCCTTGTTCCACGAATAGGCCAAGAGTCATGTCACGAATGGAAAGTTGCAAGGGACTGTGACGCAAGCGTTGCCCGCGTGACTGTTTGCACGCGCCTTTGTTTGACGTACAGTTCCTTAAAATCAATAAATGTCACAACATTAACTGTACACAATTTTGAACCCTAAATCGTAAAGTTTAAAATATATTTTCGTATTATCAAATTTGAATAGCTAAGCGGCTAGGGCCCGATTTATGTTCTAATGGTTATGGATAGAAGCAGCTATATTTATGTACTTAGTAATGGTTGAAATATTGTCTTATGAGTTGCCATCATAAATCTTAAATGATATAAAATTTGAGATTAAAAAAATACAGTAGGTGGATTATGATTAAAGAGATAGCATAATGTTTAGGGACATTTTAAAAAACAACATATACAAAAATGATTAATATGATAAATTTGTGAGATACATTACGAAACAGTACAACCCGGGGCGGATCGCTAGTATATAATAAATCATTCCAACCGCTTTGATCCTGATGATTTAATGATAGCAACACATTTAATTGTAATGATTAGTTGTTGAAATTAACCAAAACTGTTATTTATTACTGCTTTAGGTTGTTCCCAGACCCATTTGCCTCACAGGAAATTAGATTATTCCTTACTAAGAAGTTAATTCATTAATCGTCTACCTTATTTTTATAGTCAGGTAACACGAAAGGTGATTTACTAGGGTTAAGTTAATTAACCTTTAATAAAAAATCACACAAAAAGGTTACCTTGATTTTCTATAGTTAATTTTAATCCTAAAATGTAATAAAATAGTTTATTCATTTGAAAATACTTGGGAAATTTCACTACTGACAAATATTGGTGTGTCAGTTGTATTTAGTGTTATAGAGGTGTCGTTTTGGTTTTATACAAGAGCTTCGACATTTGATAGTTATAGTAATATGATATTACTGATCTTTATTATTATAGTTAAGGTTCAAATAATCACCACCACTACCAACTTCTATGGTCAACGCTAAATAGGCGAAAATTAAATAAAAACAATATACTACAACTTATAGCCTGTCCATTTTTGGAGGTCAGTCTCATAGTCAACATTCCGTTGAAAATATTGACTATTAATTCTAATAGTCAGTAGTTTCAACTTTATCAACAGATTGTATTTTAAGTATGAAGATGGCATTGCCTGAGTGCTGCGTGGATCAAAAGCCAGCCGCTTATGTCTAGACGTTGCCTATATCGCAACAGGCGTTGCGCCAATCGCCACAAATTTGCACGGCACATTTGTACTGCGGTCTGTTTGAATATACTGTTTATATTCAATTGTTTATACTCTGTGGTCACGGACTGCAAACCGACCCACTAGACGAATAGAGTCATACATAGATCTTTAGATGTATAACTGTTTACGTCGGATGGGTTGGAATGTGCCTTTGCTTCTGAGATAATTAATCTTGACAAGGGAACTTTTATTGTACGGTTAATTAATATTAATCTATTATTCTTGATATCACTGTAGGAAGTACATGTAATTAACGTGATCATTTCAAATAGTATTGTCATCAAGAAATACAACAGCTTTCAATTTAATTGAATTACTCCCAGCCAATGTCTTATTCTGTTCAAAAGATTCAATCAAAGTTACTAGTGATTTTATTAGAAAGTGAAACATTTTTGGAGCTATCGAGATCGAACATGGCTAATTAAAATGTTAATAATAGCTAAAGGAAAAAACAACCTTTAGGTAATTGAAATAGCATAAGAAAAATATTATATTAATATAAATTGCATAAGTATAATATTTATGTGTCCACTTATACATCAAGTAAATAATATGTTTCGTTGGCAAATCATGCGTTCCAAATTCTGATTTGCAACGATTGATATCTTTGTTTACAGTTGGCTTAGTGGCGGTAAATATAATTTGTTTACTCAATTAAATATGCAGCTTTGGCGCATTGAATTTGCTCGCTCTAGTTCGACGGCCCTTGTTTGCTTTGACAAACAATACCTGTGTCAATACCTACCTCAGCTATTTCGTAAGAATCGCTTGTTTACTTTAGTTTGCCTATAATGGCATAGACGTGACATAAGTATATGAAAATTGGTTTAACGCGTAATTAGTTATTTTAGGTTTGATAAATAAATATTACAGCTGTTAATCAACATTTTCAGTGTTAATTAAGGATGACTCAATGAGCACATCTTACTAATATTATAGATGCGAAAGTTTAGATGGATGAATGTTTGTTAGAGTTTGTAGCCTAAACTGCTGACCAGATCCTGATTAAATTTGGCATAGATGTAGAGGATAGTCTGGAAGAACACATACGAGTAGCCTACTTAGTTTTGTTTTTTAATTCCACGCAGACGGAGTCGCGGCCGAAAGCTTGTTGCTGATAATGAAAAGATTTGTCAATTTATTGTATGTTTACAAAAGTTATTTACAAGCAGTGCCCTTTGTTAATTCAACCGTGATGGTCAGCCCGTTCCGTACATTGTGCGAAATTACTTTGACGATGCCACTTAGATTCCTACGGCCATTCAATTCAATGGACCGAACACTATTGTGTCGGAAAATACTCATCCGCGTCACATCCAATTCAATTTTATTACGTTTAAAATTGTTTTCTTCAGCACGACGGTGACCGCAAGATAAAATTTAAACGATACAGAACAGAACGTAAAGACCAGTTTCAATTTTGTAGCTTAAATTGCATTGTAAATTTGCAATTTGGTTGTTTGGTCGTATGAATTCAAAGGTTAAAACTCAATTTATGTTGATAAAGAAATAAGACGTCACAAACTGTAATCCCTGAATACGTAAACGGAGAATTTTAAAAAATAAAAGCAAATTGTTTTACGTGGATGTTTATTAATTCAATGTAAAATCACCCTAAATGGATATTGAAAGTGAAAAAGGAACCGAGTTTGTTCTTTTTGACACTTTTGGTATTTCATATATCATATATTTTTCTTGTAATATTAATTGTAAAGAACATTCATTACTCTATATTTATTTATAACAACAATTAGTTGCCCTTTTTCTTTTCATATACCCTTTAAGATAATTGTACGTTTTATGATTGGTGTGTGTAGTTTTATAAGTATTCTGTGCTGATAACAATCGCCTAGAAACTGGAAATCTTCCGGGTACTTATCAATTTGATATCAATGCGGTATTATCGAGCGTTTATCAATTACGTGTTTACACAAAATTATTAAATAAAAGTAACTAATACAAAAATGCTACTAGATTGTTACAGTTAATTTAAGCGAATTTATTAATGTACATTTATTACTGTTTTAATTTCAGTTAAACTCGACAAATAACTAAAACAATTTTTACTATGAAAACAATAACTTAACCGTAACTTAATTCATATCGATATACTCGTAAGCCTTACCTTACAAAATCTTAAAGTTCACTACTATTAAAAGATTAAATTATAACAAGTAGAGTTTGTGGTCCGGGCCGTGTCAATTCAAAAGAGAGAGGCTAGGCAATTGGAGACCGGGGGAGGCAACGATCGCAACATGGACTCTCATTGTCGCTGTGGACGGCCGTCGAATCGGCCGCGTATACACTCACGCGCACCTTTAACCGCGAACGCGTAGCTCCCTTAAACGATCGCAAAGTGATAACGAACCAAGTGTTGTAGGTAAATGTGAGTCTTGGTGATGTGAATGACTACAGTACGGACGATTTTCGTCTTGTGTTACGAAAATCATCGGTAGTGTAATGACTTACGAGTAAACAATCGGCCAGTGTGTAAACATTCGCTATTTTTCTTCTGTCATTTAAATGGTTAAGGGGAAACGCTCGCACTTTATTTCAAGTCTTTACAGACGGCAATTATTGTAATAATAGTACAAAGGCGATAGTGATCTCGCTCGAGGCGATCACGATTCTCGGTTGTTGTAGAAATTTGATATCAGTCTGTTTGTGGGTCATAATGCTGGTTCATAAAGAGGTCCATTGTTTTAGACTAGGAAACATATGCGGTATTCATTTCGTTATACTGTTAGTAGATAAGCTAATTAATCTAGAAGGATACCTAACTTTTATTTCAGATATTAAATAATTTATACAAACTTTATGGTGCTTAAAATCAATAGTAAAAAACTACAAAGTTTTTATCACAATTAATTAAAACGTTTTTGCTAATATATTATTTTAATTAAGTGTTAAAATAAATAAAATGAAATTTATTCTTATTTTCAAACGGTAAACAATTTAATTTAGTAAATAATTCAGCGGTCGTTAACCTAAAGTTAGTTTGGAATTCGCAATCTATGGAATTTGCCATATTTTGCAAACAATATTGATACCGTGTTATGTTTCTATTTCGAAAGTACTTATCTCTACGTTGCTTTTTGTTTTGTTTCACGAAAAATACGGTTGTTTTAATTGCTATGAGTTATTTCTAAGTTATACTAATCAAACTTCATCTATTGACCTTCTGGTATGCTTATAAGTCGTAAATAAATAATGGAGTCTTAAATTTTTTTCCTATTCGTTACGTTCCTTGACCGGCGAGTTCTAAGGTCTAAAATTAATTAAGTAGAAAATGGAAAAACGTGATTCTTTATAGGCTCTCGTATTAATACTTAAGCTATCGCGCTTTTTGTCATAATAATAAAGTGCTCGTTAAATAAATATGACATTTGATAACAAATAAAATAAATCGATATGTCGCAGTGGTAGGCATACTAGGGTTTTATTCGACTTAGTTCTCTGTGTGTCCTTTTTAATATAGATAGGGCTAAATGTCTGATTACTTGCATCGTCATGTCCCGCGGACTCGCTTATCTCGTATGTCGACGTGACATGGAGTGAGATAACAAAAGAATCAACCCTCGCATCCTTTACCTGACATAATAACTGACAAGTGGCTTTTATCTTTTTATTTAATTTAATTTTAGTGATGCGCCCTACAATTATATCGACATCGATGGATTTTTGGATATACCTTAGATTTGAAATATTTACATAAATGTTTTATTAATTATTTACAATTGGACTATGTTTTCTCAGCGCCTATTTCAATTTGGAGTCTCGTTAACGGTTCACAAAGATTCTTTCAATTTTTCGACTACAAAAAAATTAACTCAAGTAAATATTATTAAATGTAAATAAATATATCTTATCTAGATGTTTAAAATACCTTTGAATATATGCCTACTTCAAAATCAATAAGAAAAAAAATAACATATGGTAATAAGCACAAAGCTTGTTGCATCGTACTTATCCTCAAGTATGAAACTAAGCCTCCTTCGCAAGGTTTTTGCCGTTATCAAGTTTATAACTTCATACTTGTAGTTCAAGTATAAGCATTTGATATCGTCAAGATCAGTTACAACCCAGCGCAAGGCCGAGGCGTCCGGTTGCAATAATAATGGAATTCATTATAGTCAAGTATCAAGTATTGTAAAGCGCTCTATACTTACATCTAGTCAGTTAAGATGTAAAAGCATTTGAGAGAAAATAATAACACTTTATGGTAATCCCTGTAATATGTTTATTAAATTCCTATTAAGAATATTTTCTTTACATCATTCGAACCCTTATGGAAATAGTTACAAAATATCAATAATGCAGTAAATGCTTTTAATAGATCATAACGATTCATTAAATATTAATTAAATGCAGACTTACTGCACTCTGAGACATGCTTAAGCTGTTAATGTAAATGAATAATATCTACACTAAGGCACTCTCTTACTGATAGACATTACTGTTGCAGTTTTTTTTTAAACTGTTTTGTTAACCTTGTTTAAATGAATGCACATGTTTTCAAAAATAAGGACATTTAATTTACTGAAGTAATATTGGGTATTTTCAAAAGTACATTGCTTGCATATTTGTTATTGCGTTCAGTGAATATTGACCCAGTATTGTTGCAACATTGTAAATATCATTTAATGGTCTATTTGTCATTCCTAATATGTAAATCTATGTCGTCATGCTTATTGCTCTTTCATTATTATTCAATGTTTGTCTATTAAAAGAAAATATTGTTCCTCAATTTTATAAGCGTTAATTTGAATCTTAAATCGCTATTTAAGAGGTCCCTTAGTGTAATACCAATCTCATACTAAATCCACACTGAAGGGATTTCTTTGTGTCGACTCTGAGTATCTATTTTTTAAAAAAAGCGGCTACATTCCGCTCTCTTGTTCCCCTAACACATTTTAAGTCAGGGACTTGGGAGCGGGTGTATCTTTATTTTTAACTTAAAACATAAATTTACATTAAAATCTTATTTTTATCTATCATAGTTTATATCACTTCATCTAAGCCTAATATAAAAACAATACAATATTACAATTAAATTTAAAATACAACATAGACTAGAAATTAAATTGTTTAAACTATCGTGAGACATTACTTTAAGCGAAAATTAATTAAAAACGGCTCAACTCACGCTTTTATCCTCCGGTGACGGCACCGACTAGTTTCGGATCCTTCGGGGATCCTTCTTCAGGGCGAGTATTATTTAACTTTTGTTGTTTAAAAGTACGAGGCGCGACGCGACCGCGAACAAAAGTTAAATAATACTCGCCCTGAAGAAGGATCCCCGAAGGATCCGAAACTAGTCGGTGCCGTCACCGGAGGATAAAAGCGTGAGTTGAGCCGTTTTTAATTAATTTTAGCTTATAGACTAGAAAATTTGACTGGATTTCAAAAATGCATCTGAGTATCTATTAAGTCATAAAAGTCATCATCGACTTACAATAACTCCCTACTAAAGGGGATCGAAGTCTGCTTTAAGTCGGGATTGACTAGGCCATCGTCAACCACGCTGGACCAGTGCGGGTTAATTGACTTCACACATAGCTTTGAATTTCTTCATAGATATTGCGTCGCGATGTCATTCTTGTAAGAATATCGGATAAATACTAGCGCCAATAGCCTAAGGGTTTGCGTTACGGACTACCGATCTTGCGGTCGAGGGTTCGAATCTCGCCATTCGATTATTGTCGTAAACCATATCCTAGCAAGAGCCTAGAGCTTAGTTGGAATTGTTAAAGGAATTAGTAAAGTAACAAAAATATACTAATATTTTTATATTAAAAAAAGGGCTTTTTTGTTTCTGTAAAAGTAAACTAGCTTTAGAGATATGTATGTAAATGAAACTAATGTTTAGGTATTGTTTATAAAGTAGTTCGAAGCGATTGTAGAATGAACGTGAGTCATTTAGCAGTGGGCGCCTCATTCGGTATGCGCGGGCGCAGTAGCTAGGAAATGCATTTTGTTATACTGTCGATTTTTAAACTTTTTAGTATTAACCTCGAAATGGTAGTTATCTGTTCTAAAGAATAGTGGAGATAAGGAACTTTGTGTTTATTTTAATAGTTTTCTTACAATTTACAATTATAAAATAATATGTAAGTTGAGTAATAATTTAAGAGATATTTTAGTAGGTGCCTATCTTATCTTTTAGTTTGAAGGACGAGTCCTTCTGTTACAAGTACTACTCGTATGTTATTATGCAATTTAGTAATTACTGATAATATTACTATTGTCAATTCAAAGAAATATTCCACACTTGATTTAGTTTAAATGCCATTGTCCGCAAATATAACTAGAAGTATTTTTTTAAAGATTAATTAATAAATCTTAAATAAAACTATTAAAATACTTCACTTCTTTATAAATCGTTGTTTATTAGCAATGATAGCGGAAATCAAAAACGACCTTTAATGTTTTTTTTATAAATTGTCACTCGGTTTTACTTATTTTTTATACTGTGATTAAAAATGTACTTTATGTGCACGTTGTCTGGCTAGCATTTTGCGGTTGGGTTCTGTAGCCCAATAAACGACAAATAAATAACGATATACTTTGACAATTAATTATTTCCGTGCGCTGCATTGGGATCTGCCACGTTATTCCGAATCAATTATAGATTTAGCTTCCGCCTGCGACTCTGTCTGCGTGGCATTAAAAAAAACAAAACCAAGTAGCCTATGTGTTCTTCCAAACTCTGCTCTACATGTATGCCAAATTTCATTGAGATCCGTTCAGCAGTTTAGGCTACAAACTCTAACATCCATCCATCTATCCATCCATCTAAACTTTCACATTTATAATATTAGTATGAAGTATGATAATATTATTTAAGCCTGCTACAAACGTTCAGTTGAACTGTTGAATAAAAACTGTGTATTCATTAACGACTTTTCTGTCCCACGATGTTTCAGTTCAAACTGCCACATCTGAGTGTAACAGGCTTTATTAAATTAAATGATAAGACGTTGCTGTAAAATTGATTTCGGAAATCAGTACTTTATCATTTCATGAAATGCAATTTTTACTATACTAACATAATTAAAATTGTTTAAAGTTTGTTTAACCAATACTAAAAGTACAGTTAAATATATTGTTAAAGAAAAATACATCACTTTAGTAGTAACGCTAGGCATTTCAACGCAACAAAGCTAGAAAATATGCGAAACTTTTTAAATAAACCAACGAACACCGTTCGTCATATCACTTTCCATTAACGGTAATATTTACTATGCGGCGTGACTATGAAGTAATTAAAACGGTCCGCGAGAACAGCAAGTTTTTAACTGTAACCGCGATTCCCTCGGAGCGACAAAAAAATCGGATAGCGATTTGACGGCTCTATCGGAATAGAGGTTCAACGACCAAACTGTTATTTTGATACGTTTAATGCACCCATAGATTCGGGTTTTAGTTAATTTTTTTATATCATACAATTTATGTTTTTAACTGTATTAAATACTGGCTATTGCTCGCAACTTCACCCGTGTCTAGTTAAATTATAGCCTATGTTACTCACAGACAATGTAGCTTATTAATGTTGAAAGAATTTTTGAAATCAGCCCAGTAGTTATTTCAATACATATAAAAATCTAAAAATGCAAATCTTTCCTCTTTATAATATTAATATTAGTATAGAAAATGCCAATAATAGGGCTAACTAAGTCCAAATGTCGAAACCAATACCAGAAAGATGTTTAGTTTTGTCCAAAGACTATAGGCATAGTGAAAAAAAATTACTGGTACTTTCTTTAAAAGGTACTAAATCAATTGTCAAGTTTAGCTCCATCTTTTGTTATACATAAAAAATTTAAATATTATGTAACGACGCCTGTTGGCAATTAATTTTTATACAACTAGCTTTCGCCCGCGACTCCGTCCCCGTGGAATTAAAAAATAAGTGAGCAGCCTAAGTGTTCGTCCAGACTATCCTCTACGTGCCAAATTTCATCGAAATCCGTTCATCCGTTTAGGCTACAAACTCTAACAAACATCCATCGATCTAAACTTTCGCATTTATAATATTAGCATGATTAATTATATTGACATGTGGTTTTGAGGATCTATTAATAGATAGTGTTAGTGAGTTTTTGTAATAAATGTTTCAAGTGAAGTGTCTCTTTGGTTTTGTCATTGAAATTGTTTTTCAATTTAAATGAGAGCCCTACTGTTGTTACCAATTTTCATTACCAAAGCATAATAAAATTTAATAAAATATTTTATTTCTCAAATAAGTTGTCAGTTATGTTTTAGAGGGTGATGACACTAAATCTACGGTTAAACAGGTTAAGATTTAAGCTATACAATTTTATTGTTTCATGAACCAGATCGTCGAATGTCGGAACAACCGTTAAGTGTGAATGATCCAATAGCGGAAACGGCTGATAGTTTTATATAGGCCTCGATATACCGGTACTTTGAATATAGAGAACAGGACTAGACAAAAAGCCACGGCTGTCTTTACTAATATTATAAAGAGGAAAGATATTTTTGTATGTGTTAAAATAACAAAAAACAACTGAGCGTATAACAAATATTCTTTAACCAATAAAGAGCTAAGTTATCAATGAGTAACATAGGCTATATTTTTTTAACTTTATGCGGGCGAAGTCGCGAGCAGCAGCTACTTCTAAACAAAGCTTTACGAGAGGGATTGATGTAAATAAAACAATCTCGTATGTGCATAACTTAAAAAACTTTACACATTTACACAAAACATATTCCTTTTTATTTGATGTAGAGGAATGCGAAGCATGACATGTCCTGTCCTTAAAAGTCAAAGTACCGGTAACTCATTCGTAGCTGTGCGTTGTTACAACTGATCGTAGTTGCATGGTGTGATTGTACGTAGGTGTTAACGGCACTTTAAATGCACTTTAACATTCACTTAGTTAAAACCTTTTAACCCACATTTGTATTGGACAAAGTTATGAAATTACTGTATTGTAGAGAAGTGTTAAAAGATAACTTCATAAACGATGTTATTATAAATACATTTTAGAATTCTCTATTATAAATATATAAAAAGGTAGCCTTTATACACGGCTTTCCATAAAAGTACGTAACTCAAAACCGGATATCATTCCCATAAAATTGTACGATTTCACAATTGAGTGAAATAATAATCAACAATCGTGCCACTTTGGCTCCCTCCGTTACGGGCTGTCGTTGTTTTGAATTATTACTCCAAAGGCGGACGTAATTCGTCAACGGTTTATAATCAAGTTGGTTCCTCAACCGCACTTTAATGCGTGGGTACTTTCATATTATTAGGTCAGCGAGCGACGCGCATACGACGCGGGGATTACGTACTACCGAGACTGTGCGTGTTTGTAGGTTCTATCTATGTTAAAATGCAGTTTGTATTTCGTCGTATTCTTTATAAGTATGTTTGAATATCTATATCGAAATGTAGTGAATGGTAGAATTTGCCTCATAAACATGTAGGATGTCTGATGCAAGGAGATCAATGTTTATCTTGGCTAAAAAATGTTTAAAACCAAAAGGCAAATGTTTTTAAGAGTTAGTGCAATGGTAGTAAACATTTATTATCCTTAATCATACGTTTCCGTACGACAGAGACGTAAAGCTTTACTCGAGAATTATCTCCGTAGCAATAAACAAAGCAATCAACACAAAACTACAGTAATTATCGCACTGATTTAAACGACTATAAGGTTTTAAATGCGATCTAAAAATATACCCCTTACTATAAAATTAATTCGTCAAAATTGAATTCCTTATTTCAATTATGTGTTTTATTACATAGCGATAAGAATTTATTTTACAACGTTCATGATAATGAAAGGTTTTTAGGTTAACCGGTAAGGACTACCGTAGACGGAATTAATTTATTTGGACCTTCTGTTTATTCAGACGATCTTTATGCCGGCTTCTTTTGTTTTATTAAATTAAATTCACTGGGTAATAAAATTATACGGAAAAGGTTATTGACCTATCTTGGTACTAGCGAAAACGATTACAGCGAAGAATTTTATTATCTTGTTTAAGTACATTATATTTGATGGAAATAATTTTATATCATATACGAGGATCGAACGACTTTTTGTTTCTGGGCTATAGCTATTGGGATAAACCATAGCAGTAAGAAAAATGAGTTCATATTTCTTTTAATAGCACTATTAGGTAATAACTATAACCACTTAAGCTTAAATATAATTCTGTTATCTGTTTCATTTAAAAATATTTTGTCTGTATTAATAAAAGTTCATTGAACACAATAGGTAGGCGACAGATAAGCGCGATTAAATCAGAAGCTAGATTACTTTCCAGATATGGACATGTACAGTGTTAATGACCTCGCAAGGCCAAAGGCCTCCTCGGAATACGTATATAACCTTTCGATTTTAAAAATTACAATTTTATTTACCGCAACATAATAATCTATATCAAGTGTATCTTTATTACAATCGGCCGTACGCGTGTTTATATTATTGAGTCGTAAGATAAGTTTTGCATTTTATTCGATTCAGGCGACACGAATCATGAACAAACTATCGAGTAATATAATAAAGCGTCAAACGACGCTGTATTGAAAACGAAACAATGTGCAACAAAGATAAAATGGTAAGCGGAAAGTTCGGTTTCGCCGCTAAAAAGGACAAAGTGATCGCGACGGAGGTTAAGACTGAGTTTAGTGTTAAGGAAAAATGTCGAAAAATACAGAAGAAACTAAAGAAGACTGATAAACAGAAGACTGATGTTAAAGAGAAGGCGATTTGGTGGAACCAGTGTAGCAGCCGTGAGTAGATTTTAATCCTACATTTATGAAATAAACAAACTACGACTTGGTAAATGACGTTTATAATTATTGGTTGGTGGTTATCATAACGTAACCGTGCTTGATAACATTTCCCATAATACCTTTCGACTATTAAGTAAAAGCCGAAGGGTACGCGTTTTAAATTATTTATGAATGTAAAATAACTAGATACCTGTTTTTATTGCAAGAGCCATTGGCCCTTTAAGGGCCCACGGGCTTGTTACACTCTATGAATGTGCAATGAGGGGAAATTAGAGCAACAAGGTCCAGCTTTTGAAATCGGCCCGGTACCTCCCGCACGAGTACGGCCCAACGAGGCCAACGCGGCCTTAAACGTCGCCTTCAAAGCATTTTACCGAAGTGAGCCCTTCTAATGATCGTAGTAACGATTTCGACATTGACTTTTGCGATTCGTATAGCCCTGCCCTTATTTTCTATGTTTCGATGGCTTATTACGATTAAATAATTTCGTAACTGACCTCCATGGAACATAATAAAATCAATACTCGTATCACTGTGTAATGTTTTAACGTTTCTTTTGTTTTAATAACGATTACGCGTAATAAAAGTAGCTCACTGCAGTATGTATGTCAGTGGAAAGCGCGAGAGAATCCCGTGAAATCGACGCACAAACGGCGACGCGCACTCTCCACAGCATCCACTTTCTAAACTGGCTAGACAGCGCCGTCGGTTAATAGTTCAGGAACTGCTACTCGATCGACCGCATGAAAGTTGTCTTTTGTTGACATTTCCTTGTGAGAAAACTCATAGTGCTTCACAGCATTATTGCTTTCTTTATTGTAAAAGGACTCTAAATTTATATCGGTACATGATTTTAAACATGAGGAATTTTTGCAAAGGAAAAAGATGTACAAATTAAATCTTAAATATAATTTATATAGAAATGATATTAGTAATTACATGTAGGTTATAACGTGGGATGAATTTCGCATTTGTTAAGTTCTTACCGTTAGAAATGGAGCAATTTTCTGTATGGGAAAATGTAAACGATATGTAGAAAATTCATAACATGTTCGAGAATGTACTTCGTCCATCAATATTGTACAAAGTCGGATGTTTGTCAAGCCAAAAAGAATATTAATATTGATTGTTACTTCCTGTTACTATAGTTAACAACCAAATTGCACTATAAATATAGAAGTAGTATAAACCAGTTTGTCCATTAAAAATTAATGATCTTTTGGTTAAGAAACTTGTTCCAAACATTGTCCCTTATCTCAGTATTACGTTTATTGAACCAGGAATTAAATCACCCTTAAAGCTTCAATCTTCATTACATGTTTGTGATTAATAACAAAGGTTGTTGTCAAGCAATTATTGAATGTGTTTTAGTATTTTTTTAATTGATGGTATCAATACATTAATACCTTATTAGGTATCGTCCATGTCTCGATACGGACAGTTGGTTGAATCCGATTTTACTATTACATTCTGGTTACTAAGTGGATTACAAGACACATTTTAATGTCTTTGTTACAATGTAACTCGGTAGATGTTAATCATTCTTAAACTTGTTTTATAAAAATATGTTTGCATTCTACTTTTTCTTTCAATCAAGGAAGTGACAATTTTATATCAATTTAGAAACGCTGAATATACTGATAAATGTAATGTATCTATGTATATCGGTATTTAATCTAAATGCTGCACCGACATAAAGAGTAATCCTATATTTCTTTCTTTTAGCAATTATCTTTCCAAAGAAAGTATTAGGACAACAATAGATATAATGATTCTGGGATATTTCTTTCCTTACGATTTTACTCGCTAGTTATAGCGATAAGAGTATGATTCTGAAATAATTTCTGTGAAAATGAATAAACAGCGGGTGAATGTTAAACATGAGTTTTCATGGCCGATACACTTCTACAGAAACGTATTGTTATCACTGTTTTTATCGACTAGATTGAGAAGGATGACAATGTTTTTTTATGCAGGTGTTTCGATAGTAAAACCCACAGTAGGGTCGACCATAATTGGAAATAAAACAAAACAATGTACACTGAACTTTGTATATTATCTTTTCTCGTAACGTGCATGCATTTTTATAGTATTTATTTGAAAGTCCTTTCAGATACAAAATATAGTAATATTTTATAAAAATCGTTGATAGGTGTAATTCTGGACGCTTGACCACTTCCTTATTTAAGTATTTTCATGATTGACAGGTCATAATGACACCTTGTCATCGTGTTTCTTTAATGTCAGTGAACTAACAAAAGTAGTAATTTCCATGTACATTAATGTTTTAATATTTAAGTTGAACTATATTTATCCAGTAAACTTTCTTTCATGTGCTATGCTATCATCAAATTTCAATACAAATTAAAATATTTGTGCATATCCGAGTTATTTTTGGCTGTATGAGTTATAAGCGTTATACGGTGCTTTTTAATACTCGTATAATAAATAAGTTATTTTTGAAATAATAAGTGTAATTGATTGCCCTTTTGTTAGAAAACACTTACGATATGTCAAAAGGTCAATAAAGTTTATTTTTTGCACAATTCCATGTTTACTAACCTTTGCTTATCTAAAAAAGTATTTGTTTCATGTATATGTTTGAAAGTCAATAACTACACAATAACATTCATTCATATAAAGTACTAAGTTCTTGTAATATACCGAAAGGAAATCACACACACAGTTACACAGTTACAAAAGTAAAGTAACTAGTTTGGGAACATGCTAATTTAATTGTTATTTTTACTTATTTGATGTTGTCTTGTTGCAGTGAGTGAAATCGATCAGTACCTATGGATGGTCGGAGGCTCAGCTGGCGCGTTGGCGCTGACAGGCGTCGCTGCCGCCTCTGCCTTCTATCTCAGCACGAGACCAAAACCTGAGAAGCCTCTCGTCACACTACACGAACAGAGCTTATTAGAACCGGTAAGTAATATAAATACTAGCTATTGTCTACGACTTTGAACGCTTAGTGGATTACAGTCGGACCTAGATTAGTAAGAACTCAGGCGATGTCCATAAACGAAAAACGTTTTATAGGGACACTAAAACCGAGAAAATCATACCGGTTTCTTGGACATTTGCTTATCTAGGTTCTACTGTGTAAACAAATACTACAGTTTCTTAAAGTATACACTCGTTTAATTTTTCATTAATTCTTGGATCTGATTTTTATGATGTACATATGAAAGTATACTTATATTCAAATGGGAATATTTTTATTCATTAAAGAGTTTGGACAATGTAAAATAATAACTCTAAAACGTGATATATATGAAAACGTAAATACTTGAAAATATATCTTTATTTTGACAAGCTTTCTTCGTTCGTCATCCAACATGATAAGGAATAAATCATAGAAGAAGAAATGTAATTTTAATACAGACGAAAAATCCCGTAATCTACATTTCTTATCAAGAACTCAAAGATATTTTAACAAAAGGTTATTGATCGATAACAATTACACGAAACTAAGATTAGTGGATTAATTTTATTTTACAAATTAAACAACTATGAAATAATCTAATAATAATTTATTTAACATTAATAATAAGAAAATTATTCAAAGACAAAATTTAATAAACAAATATTTTATCAACACACAGCGTCCATTATTTTTTTTATTATTTTAATTATATTAATGACATTTATCTTAAGTTCAATGATCGAGCTGAATCTAAACTATGTAATGCAATAAATGCTTTTCCATAATATAGATAAGTATAGACTAATGCAGATTATTTCTGTTTCAAATGTCGTGTTAGGGGATCTCCTTTATATCCAGGTAGCAAAGTTCGGATTGTCCCAATACAAGCCGCCGCGGAGAGTTGGCAGAGCGCATCTTCGAGCGATATTTTTAACTCATTGTACGAAGAGCAGCCCTGCTTGCTTCTCATGTCAGTGCCCAAAAAGTTTATAGCGAAAGTGACGAGCCCCTGAGTTGCTCCCGGTTACTTAATTGAACGTTACGAACGAATTAAAAAGTTAATTGCTTTGTTGAACGGTATGGAAGTGATGTGGTCGCGCAATTGCGCTTTTTAGGATTGTTTAGATTTTTTGTTATTTTTATAGTGAAGTGATTTATAATTGTGGAAATGGCTTGCTGTGACTGTTGCATTGGAGTTGCGCCTATTAGGCCACCGATTAATCTTAGCGAACAATCAGATGCAATTAAAGTAAGATTACATTTAATTAATTCAAATTAATGAAGACAGAATTTACATCTAAAAAAATGAATTAGTAGAGTACTGGATAACTTTATATATCATAGAATTAGTTATAATCTTGGTTTTTTTTACATTTTTAGAGAGTGCGTTTTCACTGTAGTTTGCGGTTACACGCACCCGTATTGCGTATTTTGGCAAGGCTCCGTTACATTTAGAATCGGATCATTGAAAGGTCGGAAATGTCGGTTACGTGTCTACGACTGAATCGACGCAAAAATAACGTCTTCTAGATAGTTCTTTTATTTGCCAAATCACACATAATTTATTATACTATTATTTGAATCTAACCGTAGAGGATCGTGAAATGTCGAGCAGTTTTACGACAGCATTATGTGACCATGACTACGTGTTTGAGTGGTTTGAACTATGTATTAGTCATTTTATGCGTGTAGTGGAGTGCGAATGAAATCTGTTGTTTCTTGATTACCTTTATGGATGCCCTTATTCTACAAATTTTATACGGCTTTCCATTACCCACACAGAAGACAGGTGTGAAGCGGGAGCAATTCCGCGTTTCGTCTGATGACTTCCGGAGAACCAACTTTAGTCCCTTTTCATTCCCACCCTTTTTCTTATAAGAAAAGGACGGAAAGGGAACGTGACGGTGAAGAAGATTCATATAAATGGGAAATATCCTGTTTATGTACGTCTCCTCCTTCGTCGATTAAGGGTAGGCAAAGCATTCTGATATAGCGAATGTCTATGGGCAGCGGTCGCTTTGCCATTTTGGCGGATTCAGGTGGCCGCCTGTTCGTTTGCTACCCAATGATGTATAAAAAAATAAACTGGTACATATATTACTATTATTATAATCTTCGATATAGCATAAGTGAACTTAAGTTTAGGCGATTATGTTCCGAAATGGTCAGAAAAGGCTTTATGCGTTGTTGTAAACGTTTTTATTCGCTTAAATACTCCAATAACTTTATCAGTAATAAATAATGTTTTAATAAAGTCAGAAATAAGATGGATACCCCATAAATCAGTTCAATTATTATGACATAAACCGTAACCACAACCTCAAAATGTTTATACGTTGCTGCCTTGATATATGACACGGAGACTCAAAACTGTTGCAAATATTTTGACGTTTAAATGGTCGATTAAAATTTGGAAATCATGGTTTGCTTACACAAGCCTGCATTCAATATCTTCAACTAAAGTCTACTTGTATGTTGGTGAATTTTGTTTGTTTTGCAGAAACCGTTCGCGGATAATTTTAGTGTGTTGTAAATTTTATGAATATACTCGGCCCCTATTCGACAGAGAGCTTGTAAATTACTCCGGTGATAAAATGGAAACGTAAAAGTTGTACATATAGCCGCGGTATGTATGGACTTAACGATGGCATCAGTGAAAGACTATCTTTATTTTTGGAGAAGGCATCTTTTATATTACGACTTGAATAATTACTAAATCGTAAACTTATACCCGTTTTCACCAACCAGTCCCTTATGTATTCTGTGATAAGAGAGGTTAGCGGCTCCATTATAAACTATGGTTACACTTAAATGATGAATCTAAATTCTTACGTGACACCCCTAAATTCTGCTAAAGGGGCCCTTTAAATTAAGAAATAGTTGGTCAAAATTTATCAATGTTGTGAAATCTAAATATAATATAATCTCTCCCTATGGATAAGAAATTGCCGCCCAAGATTAAATATTTATTAAATGACTAGTAAATAATCTGGGCCAACATTTAATAGAACGATAGACTTGTTGTTTACAAACGAAACTACTTACTCTTTAAGAATTGCGTATTGCAAACTAAAAAACACAATAACATATGTGCGTAATATTAGTATGGATACGACTACTATAGACTATGTAATCGACTACCTTAAATTAAAAGCAGATATTGGATTCGCACTATTACCGAAAGAGCATTTGAATCTATTGGCATAAAAATAATTCACCGTATCTGTTGGATTAGGTCTTCAACAATAATTCTATACAAAACACGTGATCGTCGCAAGTCGATTACAAGAAATATGCGTTGTAAAACATCACGAAGTTATTTCATATTCCCATTCCCACGCCCACATTGCATGGTAACGTACAAAAATAAAATCCTATTGAGTCGGGAAAAGGGAGACTTAAATGTCTATACTTGTAATCGTCTGAATTTTTGGCAGAGCGATCAGACGAGTCACGGGACTGGGGGATAAATTAATATGAAAATTGTAATGTTTCGTCAATGCCATTTCAAAGTAGTAAACGGTTTTTCTTAGCATAGCTTTTTAAATATAGTTCAGTTATAATTACCTAATACGCTTGTAGATCGTAGAGTAATCCAATGATCCGAATTATTCAATATTTCCTAAATTTCATTGGTTATAACAGTCGGAATTGATATTGTCTCTATCGCACATTTTGACCATTTACAATCGAGAGTGTAGCGAATCAGCTAAATTTTTCTAAAATTAACATTGCTGTTATATAATTTATATCTTTCTTTCAAAAACAAATTAGCAACGTCTGGCAATTTTTGTGCAATAATACCACTTAATTATCATCATCATCTTCTCCTATCCTTATCACTTTTACGTTTTAGCACTAGTTCGTTCTCCATATCGATCTATCTTCCGTCATCTCAGTCGTCACTCCCTTCTTTATCATGTCACAATTTACGCAATCCTTCCATCTCTTCCCAGGCCTACCTCTACTAGTGTATGAGGAGTTCACTCATAAGTAAAGTTCGCCTTATCTCATAGGTTTCATCGCTCCTTGGAACGACCGTGCTAACTTTTTACTCCTTAATCTTTCTACCACTGGTGCTACTTTAGACTGCCTCTGATATATTTAATGCATATTTATTATAGTATAAATGCGAAAGTTTAGATTGATGAATGTTTGTTAGAGTTTGTTGCCTAAACGGCTGAACTGATTTCGGTGAAATTTGGTATAGATGTAGAGGATAGTCTGGAAGAACACATAGGCTACTCACTTTTGTTTTTTTAATTCCACGCGGATGGAGTCGCGAGCGAAAGCTGGTATGTTTTAGATAATTGGTACTAACTACATCTGGTAATTTGTTACACAATTTATGGTTGTTAAAAATGAAAGTGTTGTAAGATATGCAGTGATTCACGGATGCGAAATGTTTAAGCAAATCTTTCTGTTACTTCATCAATTAGTCATGCATCAATGTTGGAATATCGACGTACGAATGTCTAAACAAATCACTGTGATTACAAAATGTAATAAACAAGAATTTCTGAATTTGTTGTGCTGCATGTTAAATTAAAAAGAGCAGTATTTAATCAACATAAAACATAGTTTAACATTATTTTATTTGTTCTTAATACAATAAGATTATAGAAGAATTTATTGTAATATTACCATGATTTTCATGAAAATTATTATGAATATTTTGATACCAAGTTTTATCGCAAAATCACTTAAAACATTGTGCATACAAAAGTGAGATGAGAATTTCGCACGCATTCTGTTGTGGTACGAAAAATGTAAGAAATAAAACTGTCATGTGTGTTTATGCTTTTATTGATACTGATGAAAAAAATATTAGAACATAACCGTTTGTTTTCTTAGAGTGTTGAGTTACATTAAAACATAGATTTCAATACGTTTATAAAAACTCAAAATATTTCATAGAACGAAAAATTAATCATTTTTGCTTTTACCAATGCTTATTCAAGAAATCGTAAGTAACCATTTTAAATTGTACTGTGTTTTTTTCTCTATCTTTATTGTGTTATTTAAATGTGAGAAAATACTTACTACGAAACAGTATTTTCGATCTTTTTCCGTATCTTCTCTTGCTTAACCCCGACTCTACTACTTTTTGTTTAACGAAAGCCAGTTAATAGAAATTACAGATAACATATAAATGTTTTTAAAGTATGTAATAATAATCGCATTAATAGAAAGTATGAGGTCGTAAGAATTATATGTTTTAAGACGCTATCAAGCGTTTTTTTCTTTTATACAATAATTGACAAGTTCAATGCCCTAATATGGGATTCGGAGCGACTTGTACACCTTGGTCTCCCGCCAAATTTATGACATGACAGCTAATGAGATGTGTCATTCATTGTCCACATGCAATTGTGCAACAAATTAGAGACAAATTAAAGAAGAGCACAGCAATTATTACAAACAATGTAAGTCCTGCTGTTTGTTACAATGTAAAAGTTTGTCTAACAGAATATATAGTCCATGGAATGAAATTGAATCAACGCTAACGACAATCCCGAGATTTGGGAAATGAGGTAATTGCGAAGTGAAGTTATAAAGTTTTAGTAAAACACCTTTACAAAAAGAGTCATGTAAACAAAGATAATATGTTTTAAAAACGTATAAAATACGTATCGTTTAACCTTTGCGAATTGTAGTATAAAGAATTGAAACGCGAAAACATTTAACTGAAACAGCTTGCAGTAAACATGTTTTTTTCGTCGTCTTATACGATTTGTAATTATTTGCGTGAGCGTAAACTTTCAAGAACGCGTTATCCGGAAACAGAAAATAAGCCAAACGTCCCTACAATGTCACGTATTCCAGAGATCGGTATTTTTAGATGTTAAGAAAGTCGTCTTACATCGAATTGACCTTCTGAAGATTGACGACCCAACAGGTTTTCTGAGATCTGAAAGATAAATTGAAAAAAATCATTTTTACGCCTCGAAAATAACATCGCTGATGCTCGTATTATTAATCCATTAAATCTTTTACGATTTAAGTGGTATTAATTGAAAAACGTAAAATCTGTAAGATGTTGAAGCATCTAAAAAAATTGTTTATGGCCATGCTTGATTTTATATCAATGGTAAATTCATTTTGTCCATCCTTAAAAATAGAACGCACGCGTCCTTGCGTTGAGTTATAATTATGCACACAACGGTCATCGGAAATTTTTAGGGAAACTAAATCCCAACAGACCTTGTGACATTAATTCTTAAAACAGATTGCCAGATGTCTCCCACATCATTCATCGCTACGACTTTAGTCACAGCATATGATTGTAGACAAACTTTAAGCAAATCGCAATAATTTTTGACTTCCCAAAAGAAGGAGTACTCAATTCGTCTGTATTTTTTTGATATCACGAAAACACGTGAAAAAATAACAAAGTTTAGAGTTATCTTCTTTGTAAATTATCCGTGATAAAATATTTAACGTATATTACACACAATTTAATAATATGACAACTAACTATAAGTGGGAGTACGTAATTACGTATCTCTTTTATGTGGGCAACTTGACCACTCACGCGATTTTAAAAGCTAATGAAATCTGTTAATTACAACGTTAAATGCAAATTTACTACCTGCTTTGTACGAAAAGTAAACATCGTTAGAATACCTGAATGAAACATAAAAATAATTTATTACAAACATATTAGATCTGCCCGTCTCATAATAGACTCGTACTAGATATGCTGACTAATTTTCGTTTTAGTACTATCAAGGTATTTATATATTCAATCGACTCGACGTTATTTCTTTTAGAATATGGTAAATAAAACGTAATATTTAATTTTCTTCTTGATGTTATAAGATCATGCAAGATACAATTGTGGTATTTCTTTCATTTGCGTTTATGAGACCAACACTAGTTCCCAGCAGTAATATTACTGAGAAAACTGGAGATGTTTTCTTTATAACAATGGACGTATGCGGTTTGCGGCAACAATTTAAAAGGCTCGTCTCACAAAACGTAATAAAGTGTAATGACCTGTTGACATACAGTGTTCCCAACATTTACCCCTAAATGAGATCATTTCTCTTCGGTTCAATTTGTTTTTGGAGTCAAATCAACAAGTGACATTGACCCGTTCTTCGTTTCATTTAGTATCATAACATTGTACCGTAATGTGTAAGAGTACGGTGCGTTTAATATGAACTCCGAGTTAGTGGGTCAGATTGTCATTACATTAACGGACATTATTTGCAAAACATTTTAACGAAACACTTTTCGGATGCGATTTTATTTCAGTACTAAACCTAACCAAAAAAATCATCTTAAAAGGCTGGAAAGACTAAAAGATTTATTCAATTTATTATTGGATGGATGGAGTGTGTACACACAAATAAATTTCAAATTATTGTTTGTGTGTACACACTCCATGTTTTTATGGAAACCAGGGAGTTCAGTTAAACTAGTAATGACAGTTAGATTGACTCTCGCTCATTTAAGAATTGTAAAGTATTGAGGAACGGATTTGAAAAGAAAATTGTATAGATATCTGTAGACTTAACTGCATCCACACTTCATTACAACACATGTTTTTGTCGTTCGTGTAATCGCTTCATCGTAAGCAGCGTTAAAAAGATTACAATTGATTAGTTCCTCGTGTGTTGCAAGGATTCAGCACATTGAACCCGGACGGATTATTTACATACCATGTCATTTATAAATATACGATTATTTTATTATGTATTCAATTATCTACCTTCTCTGTTATGTGTTGTAAAAATGACCCAAATCTTCCGTAATGATTCAATATGGTTGTCGTTTTCTAGGGTCCGGAAATGGTACGAGTCTCCAAATTCTACAAAGATGCAAAAAACGGCCGGTTCCTTCGCTACCTTCATGACGACACACGTACGCTTTTCGAGACTTTTCGACGAGGTGTCAAAGAATCTAGTAAGTTCTGACCCTTATAATAGCACTACTACATAACTAATTTGTAAATACACCACAGCTTAGACCTATAGTGCTCTTTAACTTTATGCTTTCAAAACTTTTTATCAGATCAGTTTGAAGATTTATTATAATAGTAATCGTGTTTGTGTAACAAACTAAGAACTTTCCTGGTAAACAACTTAATATGTTATTTGTCTCATTGGAAAAAAACTACCATACAATTTCTAAGATTTCTCTAGTGGGAATGCCTCAAGGCACAATTCTAGGACCAGTCTTTTATCCCTCTGTATTTCCGTTCGTTAAGTATACTTGTTAAAGATAAGTACGATAATAGCCATGCATTACATCGTATTGTTACCATCATTTACCAACAGGTTCACAGGATACAGTTAAACGTAATTTGTGCTAGTGATGTTGCTGGGTCGGTGTTTTTTGTGTTTGCTACACGGGCACTTTAAGCTTGTTGCGTCCTTAAAAAGTAGGAAATCGAAGCTACAAAGTTGCTCTTGATGCGTGGAATATTCCACAATACTTATTGCGGTTGCAAACGCACGTAATCGTTTACTAGATTGACTGATGTGATAAATGAATGTTAAAATATTTTTCTTGAAAACTTCATGGTCGTGTGGTTATTAAAAAGTTAAATCTTATTTCTGCGGCCGATGACTTTTAATTAATTCCATTTCAGATAATGGCAACTGTCTCGGTTGGCGCGAGGGACCAAACAAGCCGTATATATGGCAAACGTACAATGAGACCCTGCTGAGAGCGAAAAACTTTGGATCTGGCCTTATATGTCAAGGTCTGAGCCCGGGTCAAAGTACCTTTGTGGGTTAGTGTTTTGTGACTTCTAAAACGAAATATTTTATGCCATTTATACTTTTACTCTAGACCTTGAAAGAGCTACAATTATAAAACATTTCAGGTATTTATGCACAGAATTGTCCGGAATGGATAATGACGGAACAAGCTGCCTACTGCTACTCAATGGTTATCGTCCCACTGTACGATACTTTAGGAGCCAACGCCTGTGCCTTCATCATAAATCAAAGTAATTGTCTTTTAAATATCTTGACTAATATATTTACTTTATATCATTTAATTTTAAATTTAATGAGCGACCTTGTTGTATGAGAGAACAACTCAAGGCTGGAAACTAGATCGTAGGATGCGTAGATTATTTTTACGTGTCTCAAAAGTGTCCGTTATCTAATAAATTTACGCAATATCTGTTGATTGGCGGTGCCACCAATTTATTTATAGAAATTGCGTAAAGAGCAAAAGTATGGGGGAAAACATTTTCCCTGGGGTTTTATTCCACGAAAGGTATTGTTTTTCAAATCTTCCTGTTGAATATTTGTTATATGCGCCTTAATTAAATCAAAAGGCAAATCCGACTTATATAAATTCCTTATGCGTGATGAATTTTAAAATTCAGGCGCTTAAAATAATACTTTATTTACTCAGATTTAAATATTAGTCTACCATCTAATGAAACTTCCTTTTGTGCAGCTGAAATGTCAATAGTAGTATGTGAAGATGACAAAAAAGCAAATCTCCTTCTGGACCAATCACCGAGATGTCTGAGGAAGCTTGTCACCATCAAAGAAGTGTCGCCATCGACGCATCAGAGAGCCCGGAGTCGTGGAGTTGATATCGTCAAGTTCAGTGATGTGGAAATTCAAGGAGCGCAAAAAGACCATCCATTTGTCGTAAGTAACAAACAAAAAGCGACCTTATTTTATATGAATCTGTTTTTCATTGATTACTATTTCTCTTATTATAGGAGCAATGCTATATCTATACTAAGATTATAAAGAGAAAAGATTTGTATTTTTGAATTTTTGTATATATTGAAAAAACTCAAAACTGCTGGTCCGATTTCAAAAATACTCCCACCATTAAAAAGCTATGTTATTGCTGAATAGCATAGGCTGTGCTTTAAACTATTTTTAAACAGTCGCAGTTGGGAGCAACAACTAAAAAAATGTAATAGCAATTGGAATAATGGATAAAAATGTCTTGGTCGAATTTAAAGTGACATTTTATATTGTAGCCACCGAAACCGGATAGCCTGTGCACGATTTGCTATACGTCGGGCACGACTGGGATGCCCAAAGGCGTGATGCTAACTCACGAGAACCTCGTAGCTTCAATGTGCAGCGTCATCATGCAGCTCGGAGAGCACCGACCTTCCAAACATGACGTCATGATCTCCTTCCTGCCACTCGCGCATATGCTGGAGAGATGTTGTGAGGTAAAACCTTAACAAGAGCTCTGATTTTTCCGCTTGCACTTTAATTGTATACAAATAATGATCGTTAAGTTGGAAACATGATAATTCATTTTCAGTTGTAACAAAGGTCTAACTGTTACCGTGCCTTTTCAAATGAATTGAAATCATGGAGATAGTGATCACAATGCTCCCAGAGCCATTATTAAAATGCAAATTATTAACCTCAGTAACACAATGTAAATGAAGTGTTGACCTCAAATGACACGGATGAACTACAATATCTGAGATAAAAATGGGGCTTAATAAAAAAATCCTAATTACAAAAAATACTTGAATTAAATATAACTTGAATTTATGAGATCTGATTAGGTTATTTTATATTGAAAAAACCCCTTAAAGTTATTTCGAATCTTTTCAGAATGCTTTGTATATGGTTGGAGGTGCGGTCGGTTTCTACAGCGGTGATATACGAAGACTAGGCGACGACTTAAGCGCCTTAAAGCCAACTATGATGCCTGCCGTACCTAGATTACTTAACAGACTTTATGATAAAGCCCAGAGTGAGATTTCAAATTCAAAGATCAAGAAGCTACTGTTTAATATGGCGCTTTCAGCTAAAGAATCTGAACTTAAAAGGTATGTACCAAATGACAGGAATTTTGAATTGAAAAGCAACTGAATATCTGAATACTTAACATTGTAAAGAAATAATAATGGTCGATTCGAGATTATTTGTCAAAAAAAGGTATTTTTAATCCGTTCCAATGACTATATCCGATTATCCATCATCACTTCAATTGAAAAGAAATCTAAGGTGAAAATGACCTAATCTCAAAATAGCGACATTAAATGTAAGTATTTCCTTTAAAATGACGGAATATGTATGAACATGACAATCAAGTGTCACGCAACGTCTGTACGTTCAGCGTGAGTGGATATTCAGGTTACAATTCAGTGTCTTCATTAGCACGCATATTTCTTTTAGCATTTTCAATGTCACATTCTTGTTGAAGGAAATATCAAGTTCTATGAAGATGACACTTTCCACAGCCGACATGCTATCAAATTATTGTGTCTATTTATATTCTATCGTGTTCCTCTTCTTCGGTTGGGGCCAATAAAAATCCTAACTAAGATTACGTTTACGTGTTTGTCTTATATTTTAGACTACTAAGGGAAATGTTTGTTTTATTTTCGCAGGGGTATCATTCGCGCTGATTCTATATGGGATAAACTGGTATTCCGGAAGGTGCGCGAGGGTATGGGCGGCAGACTTCGTATTATGGTGGTAGGATCTGCACCACTCGCTGGCAATGTTCTTACATTCGCACGATGCGCTCTTGGCTGTCTGGTAAGTTTAAATTCAGGGTACATATTGTATGGATATTGATAATGCTAGAGGTATATATGAACTTATACATTGAAAAGCTGACAATATACAGTAACTATTTGGAACTTAGGAATTAGACGTAAATCTATAAGAAGCGATAGAGGAAACTCCCGAATGAAAATTCAAGAACTCTACTCGTATAGTCTCTCTGGATTGGGTTTTGTTTTGTTGCTATCTTGTTTTAATGTAAACTTCGTCCACTTGAAGCAAATTTAGATTTTTATTGAACTGAAACCCGTGAATTCCATCTGAGATATCACTTCATGCATTAACCGATGCTAGCTTCTGTTTGCATTAACATAATCTATTGTAATATTTCAACACTATCAATCATATTCAAGAATGTTTGAAATAAATGGAAGATATTATTAATATTACCCGTTGAAGCTTCAAGGCTGGTATATTTAGTTCGCGGTATTTGTTTATTATTTCTCCAAATATCTTGTTTGTTTTGGACTGACTTGGTAAACAGATGATTATTTTGACTAGATACCGTTCATGATCATGAGATTTTTATATAAATAATCAACACAGCGATGTAGTTTTATCAAAATACCTGAATAAACCCACTTGGGAAATGACTTTTCCAAAATATTCAGATCTACAGTCGACTTAGCGGTAGGTTCTTGTTGCTGTGACATAAATGATTGATGACGTAATGATGACATGAACACAAAACTCGTATTGGCGAAGATTATAGATTATTCACGGTTGTGGTACAATTTTCTTGACGCTATCTCCGTGCTGTTGCTTGTCTTACGGGACATTTCAGATCGCAATGATTGATAAATAATATGTCACATGAGCGATAACGTGAGCCATCTCTTGATGAGAGTCTTGACTTCTGTTTATAGAGTGTTAAGGTATTTTTTTCTTAATATTAATGGGTACATTTTATGTTTCCAGATCGTGGAAGGGTACGGGCAGACGGAGTGCACTGCGCCCGTCACTCTGACCGTGCAGGGCGACCACGTGCCAGAGCATGTCGGCCCTCCCGTTGCTTGTTGCAAAGTGAAGGTCAGTTCCATACCACAATCAAAACTTTAACTTTACAACAGCCTTTATCATATACGACCCGTTCCCGTGTAGCTCATCCGCATGACATTATAAAAACTTTATTTTATCGTTTACATTTGTGATGACAATTGCAAATGTCAAATTCAAATGCACAAATGTCAAAGAAAGCCTTTGACATTGAGTAACAATGACCGTTACCATGACAACCTTGTTAGCTTCTAATTTTTATCCCTATCTCGCATGATGGTTTTTTCTAAATGATTTACTCCCTTAGTTCAATAGCGTGAAAATATATGGAATACAGTGTGTATAGCTAATTTTTGAAAAAGGATTATTCATAAACATATTTTGATTGTCGACAACCTACATAACTAAGTAGTAGTATAGTTTTAAATTAAAGTCAAGTTAGTAGGGAGTTAAACTATACAATTGTATACCAAATTGTTACAAGATGCATTACGAAGATTCTCGAATAGATTTGGATTACGATAGTGATGACAAAATTCTATACTTACAGCTAGTGGACGTGCCGGAGATGGAGTACTACGCGGCGCAGGGACAAGGCGAAGTATGCGTGCAGGGAGCCAATGTGTTTAAGGGTTACTTCAAAGAGCCGGAGAAGACGCGGCAAGTGATCGACCGCGATGGCTGGCATCACACCGGTGACATCGGCAAATGGCTGCCTGTGAGTTATACACAATACTAAAATAATCCTAATATTTATTCGTCTTACAATGTTTTAACGAATGTTTGTATATTACAGAATGGAACTTTGAAGATAATCGATAGAAGAAAACACATCTTCAAGCTGTCACAAGGCGAATATATTGTGCCGGAGAAGATTGAGAACATTTATATTAGAAGTCAATACGTGGAACAAGTTTTCGTGCACGGTGAATCATTAAAGGTAAATAATTTTCATAATTATTTGACAGTCTTCCTAATTTTACAATAGGATCAGCGTATACGATCATCTTTCAGTCAACTTATCCATCAGTACTTATCTATATTAATGTTACAAGTAGTTGCTGGCGTCTTCGCCCGCGTGAAATATACAGCCTATCTTACTCCCTGAACACGCAGCTTTTTAATGGTGAAAGAATTTTTGAAATCGGTTGTTTTTGTTTGTATTGAAATAACTCAAAAACTACTAGGCCAATTTCAAGAATCCTTTCAACATTAAAAAGCTACGATATCAATGAGTAATATAGGTTATATTGTGTATTATTTTTTAATAATTTTTAGCCATTTTGTTGTTTATTATTGATGAAAGTAAATGAGTCATTATTTTTGTTCTGAGAACGTCACGTGTCATCCTCTAATGCTCATAGTACGCATTCTCAGCTATCACATGCAATTTGTTAACGATAATTTTTTTGGTGACTGTCCAAGTCACGCTTCCAATTGGCACACTAGAGTCATAGACATTGTTTCTCTTTTCAAATCCTTTTAATTGCTGTTTAAATACTGTTGCTAAGTTTAAAAATATTCTAAAATACACTAGTAACATAATGTCATTGATTTGTTTCATGAGAATGTCAATCTTTCGACGCTATTTTTTACGTACAAAGTAATTGTACTATGTTACAATTGTATTCAAATGTAAAAATGTTTTTTTAGGATTTAATGTTTTTTTTTCAAATTCGTCTGAGTTATTGAATAAGTTACTGGAAATTCGTTCGAAAATAATCATTCAAAGAGATTTAAAGCTTTTTTTTAACTTCCAGTCGTGCATCGTAGCGGTGGTTGTCCCAGACGTTGATGTGGTGAAGTGCTGGGCGTTGGAGAACGGCATTCAGGGCACTTTCTCCGCTCTTTGCGAGAACGAGCGCGTCAAGCAGATGATATTGGACGACATGTTGCAATGGGGCAGGAACGCTGGACTTAAGACATTTGAACAGGTAACTTAAACATAGACATTGGACGAATGGTTGTAAATATGTGGTCACCTAATAACTAAAAAAAAAAAATAAAAGAGATTTTTGCGAGGAGCGTTTACTTTGCCAGCTACAAATTTTGAATAACGATTTTTCAAATATGAAGGAGATCTAAATTTTAGCCGTTGCTATTAAAATTATGACAGGCGCTCGTGCAAACAATGGTTGAAATGCAAACATATTGATAACTGCAATTTTAAAAATTGTTATAACTGAGAAGGCTTATGGGAACATTGCTACTAATACAGATTGTATTTGACTTTACCACCTTGATTTGTAGCAACATTTAATTATTTACGGAAATTTAATTGATATTTCTATAAACACACACTACTTCGTGGCATAGGATGTCAGCAAACACAGCACATTTTTCTATAACTAGTTCGTTCTTTAATAAAAGTCGTACGACACACGTAAGCCCATATATTTTCACTCTATTGAACTTAGGGGGTAAATACATTGGAATAAAACCGTAATGTGGCAAAGGGACTATAAAGTACAAGCTGCCAACCTTAAGGAAGCTAGATTGCCATGCAGCAATTGGTATCCAATGGCAAAGGCCTTTGTTCTCATTCGTGCATTGGAATTTTGACATTTGCAATTGAGAATTTAACAAATGTAAACAGTAATAAAAAAATTAATGCGATTGAAGCCGGACAGGAACAGCTAGTGGGTCTATAAAACCACGACTATCGCATGAAATACTGTACAAGCCTTGGTAATCTTAGAGGTTTATTTGAGTAACCTAAAAACTCGTGTTTCTAGGAGTATTTCTAGGAGTGTCATAAAGCAACCGTTTATATAACAAAGAACTTATTCATTCTTAAGTTATATTTAAACATTGATAATGTCAATGAATATGATAACTTGAAGTGGAATTTTTTATTTTTAGTTTATTTGTAACAGATTAGTCAATGTCAAGTCCAATACAAGGACAGTGTATAAATAGCTCGAATACGATAAGAACGAATCGATAACTACAAGCGAGGTTGAATGAATTCGATTTGGAATGCAAGTTAATTTTTTTATGCAATATTAATAATCCTCTAGTATTGATAATGATATAATTGAAATTGAATGCATTCTTTCGTAGGTGAAAGATATATATTTGCACCCGGATCCGTTCTCCGTGCAGAATGGTCTCCTCACGCCAACTATGAAGGCGAAACGACCGGAGATCAGAAACTACTTCAAGCCGCAGATAGAAGATATGTACAAGCAGCTTGAATAAACATTCGAATTTCGAAACAATTGATTCGATGTTGAATCGAAAATCGATTTCACAGATTCCTGAAATATTTTCTGTTAGAAATATATTATTAAGTTTTTAATTTAAGTGATATTTGTATGGTTTTATTTCGAAATAAAGTATGAATACAAGCGTGAAGTAAACAATTTTTGGATTTTTAAAGTACTTAGTGGTATTGAACATTATTTTATTTGTGTTTTTGTACGGTTATTATGAAAGCTAATACACGTGTGAGTGATTTTAATTTTGTATTCTTTATTATTATTTGTTTATTCTTGAGTGATTGTAATTAAGCGATGTTTAAATACAAGAAAGTAGTTAGAATAAGTTACTTACGGCCGAATACTGGAACGTATCTTGAACGCTTCGTAAACGCCGCTTACAATTAGATAAATGTCAACATTTAATGGAACAGAGTTTACAAGTGGTTTTGTTATTTACGATGTTACTTTTTAAATGTCGTTTCAATAATCGGCCGTTAGCCTTTAAAGGCAATAATCTAAGGAACACTAGTTTCTTGTGCTGTCAATTATTGGTGTGTTTGTAATCGCAATTTAATTATTAATATAAACTGCAGTGATTTGTTTGTTACATTTTTAATGATAAAATCCATGACACATTTAAATACACTCAAGTGATGAAAATGTAAGTGTTTTAAATTATTGAAGCAATTCGAATGACATGTTTATGATGAAATGTTTTCTTTTTTCATTTTGAATAACGAAATTGTATCATTTTTCTTAAAGTAGCGAAAATAAGGTTATCGATGTTCAATTTGAATGAAATTTACAATGTCATATTGCAATAATACATTTCTGTTAAGTAAAAAATATAGTAACGGAAATAAAATTTATTAAGACAAAATTATATATCACATAATAATAAATCATTTTAACGATCCAGTCATATTTTGAAAACTAATTTAATAGAACAGATTGCAAAGCATTAAGTAGGAATAAACTTAATAGAAATGTATGCGATTTGGCATTATAGTTAAAATTATTGGCTTATCTATGATTTTAAAAAAATTAGGGCCGTTTTATAGACTAAAATGTAGAACAATTTTTGTTAGAAATTAACATTTAGACGAATAAGTTTAGGTTAATTTTATACGTAAACACAGATTATAAAATTCAAACGCACCTTTTTCACAAAAAGTAAACTATACCATCCATTTAGTTTAGTATTTCTTGTATTTTTGGAGTGTACACGCTGTGCCTTCAGAACCTCTTACAGGCTTGGGTTGGCACGTCGAACAGTCTATTACTCCTGTTCTTGACGTGCCAAAACAAATGCCGGGTACTATGCTATAAAAAAGTTTGATCAGATTCGGAATTCAAATGTTCTAATTGAAAACGAATTTATTTGTATGTCCAACTTTTAAAATAAGAATTATTTTAATATTATTAATTTTCACTCCATCATAATCTTTTTCGACTTTTTGGTTTCTATTATTAGGACGTGCGCACACCTGAAACTAAACTATAGCACAACTGTTTAGTCTCGCTTTGATATCGATAAGCTTATGCAACTAATAAGTTTCTATGGCTACAAAACATTTGATAATCGCACAACTGTTGTCCGATAGTTTAGTCAAAGATGTGCGCCTGTTCTTATGTACAGTTGATTGTTCCGAGATTGTATTATTATGTATAACCTTTGCAATACATTATTTTAAATGGTTAAGTGACATGTTTGTAACGATTTGTTTGATTTTCCTTGTGGCTATTTAGTGCATGTGTACTTACGAAGAACGAATCTCTTGTTTGATGTGTGATGTGAATGTTTTTTTACCTGCCTTGATTTAACTGTGGATTTGACAGTGACAGTTGTGAACGAACTAATGCTATCTCTGTTGTATCCAAAAATAATGAAAGAGATGGCAATATGTTCGTAATGCAGCTGTAACAACAGTGGAAATCCATCGTAACGGCTATACCTGTAGATAGTTTTGTATTCACTTTTTAATACTAAGGCCATGCTTAGAGCGAATGTTGCGGTTTCGTGTTGTTTCAAACCAAAATTTTTGTTGTTATTGGTGCAAGTTGTACTACGATAATTTATTTTTAAATAAAAATTTTCTAAAACTTAATCGTGGTTTTATTTTACAAAAGAAAATAGTTACCTTTTTTGAAAAACTCAAACTTGAAACTGGAATAATGAACGAGGAATATAAGAAACAAATGCGTTACTATCTTTGTTAATGGAATGAACAAAGATATGCTTTAGGGTTAACGTGCATTACCCCACATTTAGTCCACCCAGCACCGTCCCACCGCACTCGCAGCCGCCTCTACCTCGCCGATGGAGCGGGAGAAAGATATTGAATTGCCAGGATTTTATTTAGACGGGGAATGGAGCAATGCGCGTAAAGCTTAAGTTTCGGTACAGAGCTATACAAACATTAATGATAAAAAAACTCCTAGAGTTTAAAATCGCTGTCAGTTTAACGTCTGAGGAGGCAAGGCATATGTCTTCGCAAGCTTATCTCCACCCGCTGTGAGCCTGACCTAAAGCACACATGGAAAAACATGACTTACCAGCTAAACACGAGCCGCCATAATATATGAATCGTATAATACTTTCCAGCAATCTTATTTTGCAATTATTACCTATTTTGCCATTATAAAAAATCTATTTTTATTTCAATTTATAGTAGTCTTTTGTCAGTTATAGTATAGTACAGGAAATGATGGCGACCGTTAATCAAATAAGGAAGAAGTTAGAACGACCCTCGAGAATTCTCTTAGAGATTATCTCAGTTTATTTCTATCTGATGACGCAATGTTCCGTGGCCGCGAACCAACATATAGGTCAGTGTGACGATGTTTATAGATACGCGTTTTCCTAAGCATTTTAATTGTAGTAAAACTCGTCCAACGGGATGCAGATTGTAAAATCAGGTCGCAAGATATTGTTATAAAAACTTGTAATTAGATATCTTTTGTTATGTGAATTACATTGCTGTTTTATTTTCCTAATTCCATATTATTTTACTTATGAAAGGTTATCTTCATTGCATTTTAAAAGGTTTAGATGTACCATTCTATTTTTACATTTTACAAATGATTCGGAGGTTATCAATTCGACTTTATGTCATTTTCAAGTTCGATTTTTATTGGGACTTTTGTATCAATTTTTCTTCTTTTTCTTTACTCTTATAGGGAATTATTATTGTACCTTTTCGTATAAACTAAATAAAACTAAGAAAAATCGACTGAGCATAACATGTAGGAATATCGCAACTTACGCAATTTTCAAACAAACCGACGAAAAAACAATTCAAAACAAAAACATTGATAAGCGATCGCTTTGATATATCCTTGGTTAATCGAAATCAAGACATTTCATAAAATCAGGACAAAAAATAAAATAATGCTTAATTCACACCATCTAGTGGGTAATAGCAACATTAGTATTTCAACCATTATCCGAACCAAAATTTATTCAAACAGTTAAATTAATTAAGATAAAGTTAGATTCTGCTGAAATGATTGAAATTTATTTTTATGAAATTTAATGGAACAATAATAATTGCTTTGTCAATAATAAACTAATTCTAGGAAGACTCTTCATCCCAACACAGGGATTTGAAAAAATACATATAAGTACATATTAATGTATGTGCCTAGCTAAATAATGTTCATGTTATAAAATTTGAATACATGTACCTATGTACTTAGAAACTTACTATATAACTGTTTTATAAGTAGCAAAGAATATATGTACCGCAAGATATGCGACGGCGTACATACTTGCGTATCTATGTGAATATTAAAATTACTTAAATCGCGTTGTAGTCAATAAAGTATTCAATACTCTGCAGTATTGGTATACTTTCTACCGCTTATCGCTTCATCGTGTCGAACTGTCGAAGCAATATCGTTTCAATTTTAGTTGCCATACGGGCTCTGAGGCAGAAGGGTGTTTGTATTTCTACCTACAAGTGCTGCCATCTATCGTCGTCGTTGGCCACCGGCTCCGTCTCCTGTGACCTTGGCGCGTTGGCCGCTTCGTTCATTGGCCGCGCGGAGGCAAGACGAGTCGCCGCTCGCTCCCTAAACTATGCTATTCGGGCACAAAATACACCGCCCGAACGGGAATTGTCCCGCGCATACATAACCGCGCGTACAGGTGCCTGTGATCGTAAGTTACCTGTCAAAAACTATGGTGCAACGGCCGTGTTCATAACCTAACAGTGGTTACTTTATAGTGCAAACATGAAGTTTGATAAAATGTGGAAGTCATCTCGACACGAAGTCGGTGAGTGTAACATTTTGTTAGTGTTTTCTTTATTAATAGGCATGTTTGTGAGTGATGTTTTGATCGGTAATTGTATGATACGCCGGGACACGACACGAACAGTTGTTAGTCATTTACATTACAGCAGACAAAGCCGTGATCTCTGTACGGATTCTAAAAATAGCGTGCGGTGTAATGGCGGTTAGGTTAATCAGTGGTTTACTCTTAGTTTAAGTAGTGTCTTGATGATTTTTTTTTCAAACATTTACGAACATGTATATTTATAATTCAGCGTCTGCTAAACAAATGTGTTGCCGGTGAACATGTTACAATTACGATGTTGACACGATGTCAATGTCTTGCTTGTTACTCTTATCTAAAAGTTAAAGAGAACTAGAATATCATCGTCTATTGGTTCCCGCTTACTTTACAATAAATTCATTTTTAAATAATGTAGGTAGACATATTTTATTACAGAATAATTGAGTAAAACTGAAATAAGACCCTTCATAATATTTACAAAAAGTATGAAAAATATTTGAAGTTTAAACTACATTTGTAAGCAAAAAACTATATTATTTTGAGAAGGAATGTATTTAATTGTTAAATTATTAAATTTTCAAATAAGATTTTTACGATATTATCGAAATACAGTAAATTTTTTGGCATATTTACGTTGATAATGTAAGTGTATTTTATCATAAAATTCGTCTTCAAAATAAGCCTTAGTAGTTTTGTTTTGATAAAAAATATTATATCAGTTAGTTATCGCGAAGTTATAATGATTGCAGATTTATATTACCAGATAGGAAGCCCGCTCAAGATTAATTTATTATTTGATTACGTCACGATATATACTCTGTTCTAAACCAAACGACATTTCGAATCCAATAAAAACTTATAGCCAGCCGTTCCCCATAATGAAAGCCGGTTTGCGACGCAATGAAATATAACTTAACATTATAATTGCTAATTCTAATGTTGTTAGGTACTTTATACTTGGTAATTTGGCGGGAACTGTTTATATTTTTATGTTGGTAACAAAAATCATACCAGTGTCATTTTATTATGTAAAAGATTAGATATGAGGGATGATAGGTATCTTGTTTTTTATTATGAAAAATATTAAAAATTGTTTTTTTGCAAACTAATATTAAACAATCGTGTTTTTCATTTTTATGGCTGCTGAAAAAACTTTTTTTTTTTAATTTCGTGCAGTTAAAATGCTAATGTTTTCATCATATCCGTAAGAAAACAACAGTTGCAATTGTTTTTATAACGATGTAGATATCCCGTGGTTTAATCAGATTTTTTCTTTGAAAATTAAAATTAAAGAAACAACTTTTTGACCAGCATTTTTTGTATAGTTATTTCTTCAGTAGAAGTTGAAAATAATGAGCATTTGACAAAACATTTTACAGATTAATCATTGTAAAAAACAATCTTTGCGTGTTTCGATTATATTTAACAACTTTTATTAAAGATTTTTTATTAATTCTACACACGCAGGGAATGATAGCCAACAAAGGTTTGTAAAGATCTAATCAGCTTCCGTGCCAATGACAGCTAACTTGGAATCAAAATTAATATTCTAATCAGATGTACTTAGTTTTTGTGCCACTCTTAGCTTTGAATAGGTATCTAGATTTCCGCAAGGACTAACCTAACCTAACTTTATGTTTTTCTCGAAGTATGGCAATGTTACAATTTCTCTCCACGGCTCTCTTATTCACGTAAACTTTAGCTCTAGGAATAATCTAATTCTTATTATTACAGCCACTTTATATTCGTATCAGCGTTTTGACTATACTTTTTTAACCTACTAGCTGTTGTTTGCGACTTCTTCCGCGTGCAATTAAAAAACATTAAAAAGCGTAGCCTATGTTACTCACAGATAAATTACCTTTTTAATGTAGAAAGAATTTCTAAAATCGGCGTAGTAGTTTTTTTAGTTATTTCACATACAAAAATACAACTCTTTCCTCTTTATACTATTACCATACTAATATACAAGACCTTTTGCCTCACTTTCTATCTAGAAGTTACAATTCTAAGATTTTGTTATTAAGTAGCTATTTGGAATATTTTTTTAGTAGTTCTACACAGTAAAGGTATTTATAATTTCTCTATTATAAAAATTAATGTTCTGTTTATTATCTAAATATGTGGAATGTTTATTTAGCGGCGACAGTATTGATATTGTGCCTTTGCGCGTCCAAATGATCCATCCAACTCGTCTAGTTCAAGGTTTGATGTGGCATTAAATTTAGAACATTAATTTCCTTATACGTCATTCGGTTGATAACAAATGGGTCGTATATAGCAAGACAAATGTATAAGGAATATATAATATAAATAACATTATGTAATTCAATAGTAGCTAGCCGCCCTCAAAAGCAATCCTGAATCGCAATGCCGCGTATTTAGTGACTGCCGTTTGCCATAACTATGTGGCTTCTGAGACAACTTGGAGGGTCCCAATAGACTTCAATTATTTACTGATTAGAAAATGGTTTATGCCATCTCAAGATTGTAGGTTCAAAGATATCTTTGAATTTCTCCGCAGCTACGTGCAATATGTATCACGATGTTTCCTTCTCCGTAAGACCGTCGGAAATGAATGAATGGAGTATTTATTGCCATAAAAAGAAATTACATAAACGGAGTTATTTTAAAGAAAGCATAAATTGGTGGCAAATGGTACCCAAATCTGCGTATGCAGAAGGGTCAAAGCCGTTCCTGCGCTGGTTTTCAACTGGCTCTTTCGCATTCAAAGAATAACTTATACTAATTTTAATATTATAATTTCAATTTTAATGTAAGCGTAATTCAAATCTAACAACATTGGTA